AGAGTTGTTGATGCTAAAGAGGGAAAGATTGTATTGGACTCCATGCGCAACATATTGCATTGATTTGATATTTGAAGATTTTGAAAAGAATTTAAAGGTCCACGAATTGAGAATTAAGAAGGGAAGAAAGATTACCACTTACATTTACAGAAGATCCATGTTGATTTCCTTGTCGAAAAAGTTCACTATAGGTAGAGACTTGATAAGACCGGGTATGACTAGATTTGTCAACACTTATTTAACTCTTGCTTGTCTTCATGAATTGAAGGCATCATAGTTGACCATGTTTAGCTCTGAAGAGTGGAATATAAGCAAGTTTGGAACTTCACAAGAGGGTAGGAAAGTAGAATATGTGGTATTAGATAACCGGTTTTGGAAGAATGTCTCACATGCCTAAAATTTGTTGCCCCTCTTATGGTGGTTTTAAGATTAGTGAACTCAGATGTAAAACCCGCAATGAGTTTCATTTATGAAGAGATAGATTGTGCAAAAGAGAAGATTAGGTCTAACTTTAACAATATCAAAAAGAGGTAAATTTTCAAGCTTTTACTCATTCAATGTTTAATTACTTATGTGTGAAATTATTTCTTATATAGAATAATTGATGTAGTTATGAAGAGGTTTGGGGAATAATTGATGCTCAATGGGATAATCAACTTCATATGCCTTTGCATGCAGCTGCCTATTTTCTGAACCCTCATTTCCATTATGAACCTAACTTTAGATGTGATGATGGTGGAGAGGTGAGAGAAGGATTGATACCAGATATGGCAAAAAGAAAAAAAATTAATTTACAAATTGTTGAATTTCATTATGCTAGAGGACTTTTTGGAATGGAAGATGCAAATGAGTGTAGGAAAGAGTTAAATTTTGGGGAATGGTGGGACATGTTTGGTGGAACTCCGGAGTTAAAGAGATTTGCTATTTGAATTTTAAGTTTGACTTGTAGTTCTTCTGGATATGAGCGTAGTTGGAGCTCATTTGAAATGGTAATTTAAATTATTTTTAATTTATAAATTTCTTTATTATGTTTCTATCTTCACTAAAAATATTATATTTCATTTTAGGTTCATACAAGGAGAAGGAGTCGTTTGCATCAAAAAAAGATAAATGATTTAATTTATGTGATGTATAACTCCAAGTTGAAAAGTAGACAAATTCGAACAATTGTAGCTCTTTCATTTAATGACATTGAATCAAATGATGAATAGATAACTGAAGAGGCAAATGATGTTGTTGAGATTGATCAAGTTGAAGGTGAAAATGATGGTGAAAATGTTCACTTAGATGGAACAACAACAGATTCTGCTCTTGATCTTGATAACATAACATTTGGGGACAATGAGGATGCACAACATTCATCAGAGGAAGAGTTAGATGAGGATGATGATGGAGATGATGATGACATTATTAGAGGATTAGAGGATTAAACATAAAGACTTTGACATTTCAATTTATGTTTTACATTATATTTCTATGAACAATATTTCTATGAACTTATGTATTTGAATTTATATAATTTTGTTATCTTATTTGAATTAGGATGTTATTTATATTTTTTTTTCATGCAAAGTAAACTCTTACCAGTTTACAAGTTGAGTTTACTAGACTCTTATGACTTTACGTAAACTCTCGAGTTTGACAACCTTGATTATAACAAGTAAGAACAACACATAGACACATAAAGCCAATAAAGATAGATAAGGAAACCAAGGAAACTTAGCTCTTGAAGAACCAAGGCTCTTGATACAAATGATGACAACCTCCTTAGCTAGGTTGGGCCAAAGCTAGGAGATGTGCATGGAGGGGTGTTTCCTTGGATGGATAGTGCAAAAAAATGGTGGTAAATGGTCCAAGGATGATGAGCTAAGGTGTGGACGGTGTAGAAGCTCATGGCCTCTAGGAGATATGGTGATGATTGTGTACTGTTTGGTGGCTCTAAGAGGGGTTAGGCCAACTCAAGGAGGAAGGTTACTAGAGGGGCCTCATGGGTTTCTAGTATTGATCTAAGATGAGTAGTATGACCAAAAATGGGAAGCATAACATTATTCAACATCAAAGATGAAATACAATTGTGGAGACACCTCTATTTATAGGCCAAGGGTGTCTCCTTCTAACCTTAAAAGCATGATTTCCCACCTTTGCTCTCATTGCCACAAATGAGGCCTTCTAAGGAGTGGACAATTGTCCACAAATCCTCTTCAATGGTGGAGGGGCATGTGGCCACTACCAAAAAGAAATCCTCTCCACTTCTAAAAAGCAAATCCTCTCTGATGGAAGCATGACACATGGTACACACTTTTCACTTGGTTTGGATGTCTAACTTAAGAAAAATTCTATGCTACTTAGGCCTTAATACAAGCCTTAAACAAACCTACACTACATGATCAAATACAATGGCCTAGATATCCTACACTACTCTTTAATCCATGCTCCATCATGGCTCCAAAGGTGGTCTAAAGGGTAGAGTTTAGACCATCTTCATGGATGACTTCAAGTCTTCTTGTAGATGCTTCACCATGGCTAGGGGGTATGCCATCAGAAATGGTTTCTGAAGAAGAATAAATAAGGGATGAGAGAGATGTGATATTTTCACAAAAGAGTTTGGGAAAGAAAGAAAACTTCATAATTGGACAAAAGTGGAAGGATATAAAAATTCTCCTGAAGTCGCCAGATTCCTTTAGAATGATAGGAGTGGAAGGTGCTTTCGATAACACTTTCTCTAAAACTTGTGCCTTCTTCTTTCCTCTCACAAGTTCTTCTTTTTATTTCTTTGCTCTCTCATATATTTTGTCCTGTCATTTTCTTCTTTTGTGTTATCCTCTCTTTCTTTCCTTTCTTCTTTTACTCTCTCCTCTATTATATCTTGAAGGGCCTCATTTAAATAATTGAGCACGACCTTCTCTTTTTCTGCACTTAATGAGGAAGAGGAGCTATAAGTGTGCGAAGGTGAGGATGAGCCGACTCATTGGTGACAATTGCTTCACCCTTAATGCATATGGCCTTTTTGTTAGGGTAGGCAAAAACTATATGACCATGTCTTAAACATTTAAAACATTTAATATGACTTGGTCTAGAAGGGGATTTCAATTTTTTTTTGTTCCAATTGAGTGTATTTTTGAAAACTTGATACAATCATGTCCTTGCCGTTAGTACCGTACTGAAATCGTTAAAGAGAGTGTCACATGTCAATTCGTGGGTTGTTTAAAATATTTTTACTTTTATTTTTTATTTGTTTATTTAAAAAAATATAAATTTGTCACATGTGAAACAAACATTGTGCCACATGGTAATGACAATGTTTGATTGTGGTAGTGACAGTGTCACGTGTCACTGTCATGCCACGTGTCATTGCATTAGTCTCAATTGGATCCTTGTATTTTTATTTTGTCTTAATTTTTTTTAAAAATTAAACATTTTTGTCCTAGTCCAATTTAAACAAAATTTAATTTGTATATAAATTTTATACAAATAATTTTATTAAAAATTATATTTTTATTAAATATGTTTAAAAAGATTAAGTTTTTTTACATTTATATTTCGTTAATTATATAAATGTTAATTATGCTATTTAAATATACTTATAAGAGTTAAAAAAAAAATAATGACATGACACACTTATAGATATATTAATCGTCAATATTTTTTTAACTCTTATAAATATATTTAAAAAACATAATTAACATTTATATAATTAACTAAATATAAATATAAATAAATTTAATTTTATTAAAAATATTTAATTAAAATATAAGTTTTAATAAAAATATTTAATTAAAATATAAGTTTTAAATAAAATATTTGATAACATCTACATATAAATTAAATTTGGTTTAAATTTGAGAAGAGACAAAAAAATAATTTTAAAAAGAATTATGACTATATTGAGACACATGATGGTGACATTATCACTATCATTGCTATATTTTACTATCATTATTACGTGACACTATCAATTTGTATGTAACAAATTTTTATTTAAAAAAATTAAAAGAATTAAAAAATAAAAATAAATATATTTGCACGTGACATCCACTTTAACCGTATAATACGATACTAATAATAAGAACCTCATTTAATCAATTTTTCCAAAATTAATTCAGAAAATAGAAATCAAGAAACTCATTTAAAAATGAGTAACAAAAATAAAGATATCGAAAATGCTTAACCTTGTTATAACAATTTTAATATAAAAGTTTTCATAATTTTTTTAACAAATATGAAAACTATACTGAGAAAATAAAAAACTGAGTACCATATTAAATAATTGTAAACAAAAAATGCATTCATCGTGTCTTATGCCCGAGAGTCACATAAGGGCCAAAAAAAGTCTCTCTGTGAGATTTAGCCGTTCATGCATACTTCTTACAAAAGGAAAATCATAAATACAATGATATATTATTAAAAAAAAAAAACCCTTTTCTCATGACCAAGTTTAATAAAAAAACTTATTAGTAGGTGTCTGAGTTTTTCAAAAGATGAACTTGGATATTTAGGCCATAAAAATTATCCTATTTTTGTAACAAAAGAAGTAACCTCATTTTACACGTTATCATAATAGGAGATAAATAAAGCTGCATCCGCTGGATAAGGTCACTGACTCGAACACACACCAGATCTTATCTGCTTTTTATTATTATTATTATTATTATTTTTTATTATTATTATTATTATTATTATTATTATAATATTATTATTATTATTATTATTAACTTCAATTTTCAGAACCAAACAACGTTATTGTGGTTGATGACACCTGTTGCACCTCCAGTGTAAAAGTAAGAACTTGACAAAAAGTTAGCGTCTTTTTGGACGATTCTCAACTCAATGGTTTCACAAATTTTACCATCAATACTTTTTATTTATGGTTCAGATTTGACCCCAATCGATGTTTCTCCCCCTGATTTTTAATTTGATTTTTCTATAATTTTATCCTCTTTCGTTTTTCCTGCACAGAGCAAGATACGAAAGATACTTGTAGACACACCCAACANAGTGGCAAGTGAGCAATTTATGATTGCCATGGATTTAAACTCTTGCCTTGCCATACTACCTTAAGTTTAGAATTTGAATATTTATAAAATATATTGAACAATCACACACTATATTGTAAGTGGTCTTTTTATTTGAACAACATGGAAAGAAATAGAAGTGAAGGAAATTAAGGTTCTGACAAACACACTGAAGTCCATATGAAACCAGCATACTTTGATACCAGGAACATGACAGAAGAAAGCCTCAGGGGACTGAGAGTGGTAATGCCCACCATGGCCCACAGCTCCATAAGGGGTTCTAATTGTTAAACCTATAAATGAGAACAAAAATGAAAGCAGGAACTAAAAATAGAGATGAGCCAAACTTCAATATTGAAGCAGTGAAAAAAGTTTACCACCGCAATTAAATTGGTTCCCACTTCGGTATCTGAATTTGAGCATGTCATTGACAATCTGGGAACCTAAAATTGGTCAATTACCTGATCAAAAGGGGCTTTTTGACTAAACCAAGCCTGGGAAGGTAGCTTGCCTGGTCAAAAGCAGGGAAAATGTAATCTGCAAACTGGATTTCTGCTATGGCTCTATTTCCCTGTCAGGTAAAATACATAAATAGCTTGAATGTATCAGATTGTAGTAAGGTTTTGTAACACAGTTATAAATGAATTACTTTAACCTCATAGACTCACCATAGCTGCAAGACCAATACCAAAGCCAACAATACCCTGGGAGTAGCATTGCAGTATAAAAATTTATGTCAATTCTTAGGATATAAAAACTACAAAAATAATTAGAAAGATAGTTGTTGTAAAAAGAAAAAATCGGTAAAATGCACAATCAAATTCTTTGAACACAATTTAAGAGTTAAGATTCCATCAGACCATGGTTTAGAAAATGCTCTATTTTATGCTTCTTTTGCCTTTCTTTGATAGAAAATCATCTTGAATGTTAGGATTTACTTCTGATTTGTGTGATATTAGAACCATATATTCATGCTTATTAAATATCAGACATTCACATGCGAGATAGGAAGAAAGAAAGAAAAAGGAATCACAAGGCAATGTGAAATCATAAAAATAAATACCTGCTCACAGAGAGGGGTATTGAAAACCCTCTTTTTACCAAATTGGTCTGCTAATCCTGTTGTGCAACGGAAGACACCACCAAAGCTTACATCCTCTCCAAACACATAAGAGCTGTGATGATGTGCAACAGAAGATAAGGAAGTACACCAGATATTCATGCTATACATAAACAACTCATAATAGTGCAACTGATAGAACCTTAAAGTAGGATATGTAACACAGAAACTCAGTTTGTCAACGTATTAGAAGAAACAGAACCAAACAACTTCTCAAACATGTAACGCTTCATCAAGATATGCAACATCTGAATATTACTTTAACATAGTTTAAAAGAGTGTTGAAATACAAAGCTTCCAAGAGCAACCTTTGTGAACAAAGTTTAGCTTACATAAGAATTCACTCTTCCATTAAATCTCAAAATAATGTTCTATATAGGGGATTTGAGACTGGGAGTCACCAGCAATTATTGTAGACTTCCCTATTGGGTCCTTTAGAAAATATAAAATCATTTCCTTAACAGAAGCCCCAAATCTAAATAAAGATCAAGTTTTAACAAAAGTAAATTGAAAATGAAAAACTCTGGGAATTTAATGTTTCTTGGAATATGTTAGATGCTATAGTGTTACAGTCCAATGTTTTCTTTCCGCATAGTCCCCCACTCCAAGGTTTTTTTTTTTTCTATTTTCTGATATCAAATTTGGAAACCACCTTTCAGAATAAAAGGAAACAATGCAAATGATACACACCGAAATTCCTAAAGCTAAAGGACATGTTTCAAACCATTTCATCACCTGATTGATTTGAGTTACGTTAATTTGAAATTATACAAATTCCAGCAGACTATGTACAAATCGAAGCTAAGACAAGAACTCAACACAGTTTGAAGAAGTAATTAAACAGAACTAATTCCAAGCAGTTTGTTTGTACACATTAAGGAAAAGGAAAGATAAATAAATAAAACAAACAAATTAGGTGAAAGTTGATACTGTATGAGATCCTTATATCACTGAATTTAAACTATACAATTGAAATGAATGATAAGGGTTAAAACTAATTAGACCAATATTCATCATGCATCTAGAAATGTAAGATCAAGATTACTCTTATAACCTCTCACACTCTCACTAGATATATCTTCATGAAATAAATAAACGGAGAGACCAACCGTGGATCAGAGTCCAAGGCAATGTGCAGAGCCTGATTAATTGCAGAACAGAGGTTCAATGATTTCACACCTTGCTCAGAACCACCCTTTTGAATGCTGGTGGAGGGGAGAAATCCTCTCTTGTAAACCAAAGAGACCAATCTTCCCAAACTTGGTAGACATGTCTATGATGTGAAAAACTTGCTGAGACAATGCTCCCCCAAAATGGATTTGAAATTGAATTTGAACAAACTCTCTCTCCCTTCTCTTCAAGTTCAATTTTCCGGGCCTTCAAGTTCAGAGTTTGTTGGGTTGTCTACAGTATCTTTTCGATCACATGTCAATTCGTGGGTTGTTTAAAATATTTTTACTTTTATTTTTTATTTGTTTATTTAAAAAAATATAAATTTGTCACATGTGAAACAAACATTGTGCCACATGGTAATGACAATGTTTGATTGTGGTAGTGACAGTGTCACGTGTCACTGTCATGCCACGTGTCATTGCATTAGTCTCAATTGGATCCTTGTATTTTTATTTTGTCTTAATTTTTTTTAAAAATTAAACATTTTTGTCCTAGTCCAATTTAAACAAAATTTAATTTGTATATAAATTTTATACAAATAATTTTATTAAAAATTATATTTTTATTAAATATGTTTAAAAAGATTAAGTTTTTTTACATTTATATTTCGTTAATTATATAAATGTTAATTATGCTCTTTAAATATACTTATAAGAGTTAAAAAAAAATAATCACATGACACACTTATAGATATATTAATCGTGTCATGTCAATATTTTTTTAACTCTTATAAATATATTTAAATAACATAATTAACATTTATATAATTAACTAAATATAAATATAAATAAATTTAATTTTATTAAAAATATTTAATTAAAATATAAGTTTTAATAAAAATATTTAATTAAAATATAAGTTTTAAATAAAATATTTGATAACATCTACATATAAATTAAATTTGGTTTAAATTTGAGAAGAGACAAAAAAATAATTTTAAAAAGAATTATGACTATATTGAGACACATGATGGTGACATTATCACTATCATTGCTATATTTTACTATCATTATTACGTGACACTATCAATTTGTATGTAACAAATTTTTATTTAAAAAAATTAAAAGAATTAAAAAATAAAAATAAATATATTTGCACGTGACATCCACTTTAACCGTATAATACGATACTAATAATAAGAACCTCATTTAATCAATTTTTCCAAAATTAATTCAGAAAATAGAAATCAAGAAACTCATTTAAAAATGAGTAACAAAAATAAAGATATCGAAAATGCTTAACCTTATTATAACAATTTTAATATAAAAGTTTTCATAATTTTTTTAACAAATATGAAAACTATACTGAGAAAATAAAAAACTGAGTACCATATTAAATAATTGTAAACAAAAAATGCATTCATCGTGTCTTATGCCCGAGAGTCACATAAGGGCCAAAAAAAGTCTCTCTGTGAGATTTAGCCGTTCATGCATACTTCTTACAAAAGGAAAATCATAAATACAATGATATATTATTAAAAAAAAAAAACCCTTTTCTCATGACCAAGTTTAATAAAAAAACTTATTAGTAGGTGTCTGAGTTTTTCAAAAGATGAACTTGGATATTTAGGCCATAAAAATTATCCTATTTTTGTAACAAAAGAAGTAACCTCATTTTACACGTTATCATAATAGGAGATAAATAAAGCTGCATCCGCTGGATAAGGTCACTGACTCGAACACACACCAGATCTTATCTGCTTTTTATTATTATTATTTTTTATTATTATTATTATTATTATTATTATTAT